AAGACCTAATGCTTAAACAACACTAGTAGTTTTCATTTCATGTCACAACAGTTTTTTTCTGTCATGCCAGTAGTACTCCCTAATAAGAGTGAGAAAAAAGTGAATGTATGAAAGTGTATAAGAAAATAATTAGTTAACAACTTGCAGGTTTGGGTACAGGCATTCAACAAAAATAAGAGTGTACATACCCGACACCTGCCTTTAGATCATAAAGGTACAGGAGTGTACTGAGTAACAGTGTGTATGTATGAAACATCCACCTCCAGAATACACTGCCTGTTTAAAATGACAACTGCACTGATACTGCACTTTTTGTGTATTCAAGAGCTAAAACCCCCACTGCATTATATGTGCACTGGATGCACTCATGGAGCTGATGAGATTGGAGATACTCTGAAGCCACTGCATCTCCCCTCTTATCGTTTAGCTCAAAGGTCTTGCAGCACTTGGACTTTTGACTAAGCTGAAGCATAGTACGAAGCTGCACTACTGAGATGACTGTCGAGTTCCTTTTTCCTCCAGTAAATCTGTGCCTGACATTGAATCTAGCTAAACATTTACTTTGTTCATGGTTCAGTCAGTAAAGCTGCGTATGGCACTGAAGTGGTCACGGAAGAATGCAGTAACACCTGTGATGGTACCACCTTTAACGTTAGAGACTGGGGGATTTTCTTACCTTTGCCACTTGAGTTACTGCATTAGCACCTATGGCAGCATTTGCAATATCTTCCAGTTTGCTTCTTGAAATGGCAGAAATAAAGTTTAAATAATAAGACTCATAAAGTTGGTTTCGAAGATCCTAAAAAGAAGAAAAACCACAACCTTTTTCCTGAATAAGTACTAATGTATTTCCTACTAGTTAAAAAAACATTCTTACTTTTACTGTGTGATGTTCCATTACCCCCAGTCAAACTAAATTTTTGGAAGCGCTTAGCTGTCTGCTCATACAGCCCTGTACACAGTGTTTTGACTACATAACTAGATATAACTAACCCAGCACAGAACTGTAAAAACCAGGAAATTTAATTTAAGCTACCAGATAGCAACTACTATTCCACACTCTACCACTGACCAAAACTACCTTTTGCTCTTCTTCCTTCCTTTGGTGAAGATGCCAACCTTCCATCAACTCCTCCCAGAGGACGTGAAAAACTGAGGCTAGCCTAGTCCAACCCCCTCGCTCAAAGCACAGTCAAGCAGAGCAGGTGGCTCAGGATTGTGTCCAGTCAAGTTGTGAACATCTCCACGGATGGAAACTCCACAAACTCTCCAGCCAACGTGTTCCAGTGTTTGGCCACCCTCATTAAAATAGCATCTTCTTATTTTTAAATGAAATTGTCTATATTTCCATCTGTGCCCACTGCATCTTGCTTTATCACTCCCAAACTCTCTCTGAAACACAGAACATATTTACCCTTCTACTTTCTGGGAAACTGAAGTTTTGCATGTAAAAATTTGGGGTAATATTTTTCTGACAAATATTTGCTATTATATATAAAAATTCAAGCAAAGGTGTTCAGACATGCACAAGAACTAGATATAGAACAGTCACACTCTGGTGAGTGCAGGATTACTTCCCACGTAGTGCTGGGTCCCCCTGTTTGAAACTCTAAGCATGCCAGTTACCTGGCACATCCTGTCAATATTCTCTTCTGTTGGCATTACAAAATAAACAGCTGGAACATCTGGAATAGCATCCCGATCTGAATGCAAAAGTCTGAAAGGAAGAAAAAATACATCTCAAATGTGTTCCTCCTCCAATTTGTGTAAAACTGTAAACGTCAAAAAAACCATTTATTTATAGAGACACATTTAATTTCCTACAATTTCTCCCAATATTTTGCTAGATTTTAGCAAGAACAAAACATGAAAAAATAGAAAAATTGTTTTTGTATAATTTTTGGCTGAATATATTAACAGAGGTCTCCAAAGTTTATTCAAAGCTTGAGAAAAGGCTTTGCAAATCTTCAAAAAAAGATTAATCCATTTAGAGGAAGGTAAAATACTGCATCCACAAAGTTCATATACCTGTTACTAACTGTTGACATGATAACAAAAAGCCTGCATATCTTATACTGTTAAACTTGCCTTTCCTGCTCATTATAACAAAGACAGGCAAGGTGCTTACACATTTCTCTCACATTTCTGCTGATGTCAACATGTTAAACTGTGTTTCCATTTCCAGCCATCACTTAGTAACAGTTAATAAACTTTAGAAAAAAAATAAATGTATCTTCAAAGATCTCCCATGACTATTACTACAGCTAAGGAATCACAATGAACTAAATAAACATAATCTGGAGAAAGAGAAATGGGAAATCTCTTAATACTTAAAGATTCTTTATCTTGAACAAGAGACAATTAAAATCTATGTGCAAAAAGAGCAACCAGAGAATATGCACAATCCCATTAAATAGTTTGTGCCAAATTATTTTAAAATATATGAATACAGAGAGAATTGTACAGACAGATTCCTCAAAATAACTATTGGATAATTCTTATTTTTGAGCAGGGGCCTCCTCTACTTAGTAAAAAATCCCACTGAACAGTGTTTGGAATGACCTTTCCACTCCCCGATTCAGAATAATACCATCTGATTTTAGAAATGAGTCAGGGCATAATCTTTATTTTACTAGTTATTAATAAAATTCTTCTCGGTGTTTTGTTTGTGATTTTGGGGGAATATTAAATACATTTATTTTGAGAGAAAAAAAAAAATCCTGATTTTTTTACTTACAGATGCAAAGTGATCCCCATATCTCTCAGCTCTTTCACTGACAGTAAAGGTGAGATTATATCTTGGCCAAATCTGTCATAAATGAGAACCTGAAATAGATGCACATCTTTTTACAATGTGGTGTAAAATATGCATACAGTACAATATAGGATACAGGGGATACAGGAATTTAGGTTTAAGGAACTACTGTCCTAGCCTGAAAAGTGCTAAACATTTATCAGTTTTTAATACATCATTAATTTGTCATGGACTTCCATTTGTGCTTACTAATAAATAATAAAAAAAAAAGAATGAAAAGAAACTCAATGACAAAGTAAAAGAAATTCATCATTTCCATCTCCTGAAAAGTGTCAGTCAAACAGAAATCTGCTGTCTGAAATTTGTTATTTTAAGTGCAGAATTTCTCTGACTGCATTTGGGAGGAAACAAAAGGAGAAGCAGAGAGGAAAAAAAGGAACTAGCAAAAAAAGACAACAGAATGGATGAAGAGACAGAATATATGCTTTGTAGTAGCAAAAACTTCTCACAAATTACTTACTTTTTAAAGCTAATAAATGTAGCTTGAGCTCAGTTGTCCTAAATTTAAGGCTATCAATAGTTCTTCCCTTTCTATGGGCTTCTTTCTGACTCTGTGAGTTCACCTGTAAGGTATCATGTAAGTTTCTGCCAACAGGTATCAAGGAGACCTAAGTATACTTCAAAAATGTCCTCCTCAGTTGCTCATTACATATTGCCTACCGAATCAGTCCCCGGGTCTTCAAGCAGCCAGTATCTCAAACATGTATTTTTCTCAGCAATTCTGATACTCAGTTCTGTATATTCACAACACCCAAGAAAAAATATTTTGTACAAGTTAAGAACATACTCGAGTTAGTTAAAATTTGAAAATCTGAACTGTTTTGAACCCTATAAAACTCTCCTATTCCTGTTCAAATAGTTCTTACCTTCCATACTGGTTCTCCTGTGCTGTTTTTAACAGGAGGAACATTGAAGTTCAGCATACGCTTCAAAGCCACTGGAAAATAAAGCAGAATAATACTTTATTCTCTTTATACTTCAACAACAGAGATTAATCACATTATCAGGACTTCATTATATGTTTCACTTGAGAGAAAAAACATCATAAAACATATGCAACAGGTCACATTTTCATGATTTTTATGCAGCTTTGACTAACAAGTGGCACACATCAGCTAGAATTTATGGGCTCTGGAAGACACTGCAAAAGGAAAAGAAACAGGTCCCAAAACATGAGAAAGAATCCCTCTCCTTAGTTATATGGGCCAGATTACGCTGCAGTTTGCCTTAAAAATAATTCCAATATCTTACTGAAGGTGCATTCTGAACAGTAGGAACTAGTTTGCTTTATTCCCCTGATCTGCTTTTCCTACCCCGCAGGAACAACACTACACACCCAACCAAAAAGGACGTTGTCACCTGACTAAAACTGATAGACATTTTGAAAACTCACAGGAAGAAATCGCTGTTCTCAGGGGTACAAAAATACCCCTAATTTGCAGCAGGAAAACTCTCTGAAACAGGAATGAGCTTTCATTTAACTTTCCATTCAGCACAGAAACCAAAGCAGATTCCTGCACCTACCTCTGACTTATAAATCTGTTAAGGAAGATGAGTCCTTCCTCATTTATCTGACGAAACAATACACATGTGCTGCTCTCCCATTTGACTAGAAGCAAAAGACTATTTGCATCGATATAAGTTAGCGGCTATTCTCCTCAAACTCATAAACAAAATCATGACAAAGCTCTGCAAAGAGGAAACACTTTCAGAAATCAGGGCAACATACACCACTTTGCTCATGAATGGAGAACAGTGGAAATGGTTAAACTTCTAACTCTGGCTGAATGAGGCTTGTGAGCATACTCAGCGCAGTTCCTGTGGTTTACGGTATCACGGGACAGCTCAGGCTGGAAAGGACCTCAGGAGATCTCCAGTCCAGCCTCCTGCAGGGTCAGCTTCGAGGCCAGGCCAGGCTACTCAGGGATTTATGCAGACAGCTCTTGAAAAACCTCCGGGAACGGAGATGCCACAACCACCCTGCACAACCTGTCACACTGACTGTCCCTGTGGTGAAGAAGTTTTTCCTTGTATCCAGTTTGAGTATTTCATCTCAATTTATGCCTGCTGTTCCTCACCCTCCTGTCAAAAACCACCCCAGGGAGCCTGGCTCCATCTTCTCAGCGCCCTCCCCATAGGTATGGGGGAGCTGCTGAGAGGTGCCCCTGCAAAGTCACCTTTTCTCCAGGCTGAATTAGCCCCAGTCCCCGCAGCATCACCTCACAGGGCAAGTGCTCCAGCCCCTGACCATCTTGGTAGTTCTTTGCTGATCTCCCTTCAACTGACAAACACATTCCCTGTACTGGGAGCCACAAACTGGACATGGTCTCCTGGGGCTGAGCAGAGGGAGGATAATCACTCCCCTGGATGTACTGGCTGTGCTCCTGTGAACATGGCTCAGGACGCTGCTGTGCTGCCCTGGGGCACACTGTGGGCTGATGTTCAGCTCGCTGTCCGCTGAGAGCTCTCGGCAGCTTTTCGGCAGAGCTGCCCTCCAGCCTGCTGGTCCCCTGCACTGTCACCTGTATGTTGCAAGGGGTTCTTCCTTTCTAGGTGCAGGAACTTACACGTCACTGCTGAATTTCTTAAGGTCCCTGTTGGCCTGTTCCTCTTGCCCATCTAGGTCTTTCTTGAGTGGCAGCTCTGCCCTCAAGTATACTAACCAGTTCCCCTAGTTTGTTGTCACCTGCACACTTAATGAGAGTGCACTCTGGCACTTCCTCCAGGTCCCTGAAAGAGATTTTAAACAGGACAGGTCACAGTATAGACCCATGCGGTTCTCCATTTGTTACCAGCCTCCAGGTACATTATGTCAGATTAATCACAACCCTCTGAGCCTGACCATCCAACCATTGTTTTATCTATCTAGTTGTCCATCCCTCCAGCCCATAACATCCTAACTTGGATACAAGACTATAATGTCAAAAGCCTTGCTGAAGTCAAGGTAAATGACATATTCTCATCTCCTGTTGCCTACAAGTCCAGTTATTTTATCACTGAAGGCAATGAGGCTGGTCGGGCATGATTTACCATACATAAACCCATGCTTGCCTTCTCCTTCAAGTGATGAAAATATCTTCCAAGAGGATTCACTCCATGATCGACTGCAAAGTGCCACAAAGGCCTAGGAGAATTTGCTGGTGAAGACTAAGGCAAAGAAGGCACTGGGTACCTCAGCCTTATCTGTGTCTATCACCACTAAATGACCAGCTCCATTTAGCAACGATCCAACGTTTTTCCTTATTCATATTTTCAATACTAATATCACAGCAGAAGCTCTCCTCATTGCTCTAGACATCTGCTGCAGGTCTCAACTCCAGCTGAACACTGGCTTTCCTAACACAATCCATCCATGCCCAGGCAGTGTTTCTAAAGTCCTCCTTCACAGTCTGTCCCTGCTTCTTCCTCCTGTGTACCGCCTTTTCAATCACATTGCCAGCAGTGAAACTTGGCCATGGGAGGAAGCAAGCCAGCAGTGAGTGCTGGGTCTCCCTGGAATCCAGCCTTCCACCTGCTCAAAACTTAATTTTTTATTTTTATTTTTTTTTAAACTCCATGGAGCAATCCTGAAAACTGATTACAGAGTGCTCCTGGAGCCGTCACTCCCTCACTGCCAGTGATACTTTCCATACTTTTGAGCCATAAGAACAATTTTGTATAAAGCTGCAGAGTTACGTATCTTGGTACTACTGCATCTGAAGCAGCTGCTTTGTAGACTTGACCACTTAAATTAAATCTTAGCATAAGCTCTCTACTAAGAAAGACAGCAATCAGACTCGTGATGTGTTCTGTCAATCATGACAAACATTCAGCAAGTCTCTATGTTTTGTATTTATATTGCTATTTCATTTACGTTTCAATACTCTCTGGGGCAAGGATCAGGTTTTTACTCTGTTTGCACAATGATATGCTTTGACTGGTTACAAACCTGGATAAAGGTCACAACAGATGGTGCACATACATAGCAATACAAACATTAAATGATAATAAATATTTTCCTTTTCCTGAGTATCTTTTAGTTGTTCAATCTACCCCCTCGCAAATGGCCTCCCCACTGGGTGACAACATGGGTTCGGTGTTAAAGGTTGACTGAAATAATCAAGTAAGAAGGTGAAGCACAACAGAAAAGAATAAAGCTGTATGGAATAAAGGCTCAAAGACAGTGGGCTTTATCAAAAAGATAGCAAAGAAAAGGATCGCAAAGGAACGACAAAGAGCACTATTAATGGTAGACAGCCACTGGGACGAGATTATAGAAAGCAGACTTCTGGCACAAGGAGAAGATGGAGGAGACTAGTAAATACTTCAGACTCAGACTGAAATTTTAAAGTAGATGATTTTAGACATTTCATGCTAAATAAATGCACCCAGAATCCTCTACACCACCAGAAAGATACTGCAGTTGTCAAGGAGAAGGTGACAAAAACTTTGGCAAGCAAGGGCAGCAGAGGCCAATGGCGCCGACACGCTCCGCACTTGAGGAGTACGTCCGTTCAGAGCGGGGCTAAAGGCTCCCAAAGCAGCATCGGGAGGGGGAAGGAGAGTCTAATATGGACTCGTAGCCATGGGTGAGGGGGGACTGAACAACTAACCCCTCACCCACAGAAAACCTCCTGCGTGATTAGCTGCAGTTGGCAACCTCGTGTTCTCAGCTCCTTGAGGGTCAGGACACACTCGCAGGCCCCTGTGTTGTCCTAACAGCAGCATCACAGCAGGAGCTGTATTTTCACACCATTAAGCGATATTTCCCATTGATCCTCGCCACGGGCAACACGGAAACTGAACCGGAGGGCGAGCACAACCCGCTGCCCACGGCCACGGAGAGCGGGCACCGCTCAAGCCCCGGGCTTGCGTAAGCCCCCGGGGGCGATTTCCACACCTCGGCGGCACCTGCGGCCACGCCCCGCGGGGTCTGC